AAAAAAATTTAAAATTTTAATTAAGAATATAAAATAAGTTTAAGTACTGAACATAGGGTTTTGCCATTATTGCGTGAACGGACAGCAACTGACCCCAAACCTTTTTACCAGTCGATAAACTAAGCCAATCATGGATTTTAAGGTTACACTTTTTGCCTCCTGTCGACCTTTACCGCCACAAGTCTGAATATCAATAGAAACCTAGCTAGCTAAGATATGTTGCTTCTGCAAACTTAATTGTTAATTCCCGCTGCAGAATTAGACAAACATTATAGGCCTGTTACCTGATAATTACGTAAATCAATTTCATATTCCAAAGCAGCACATAAATATATATATATATATATGTATATTTATTAGGTATAATATCTAAATCTACCTCTAAAGTATAATGATAATGATAGATTTATCCTCAAACAAAAATAAAGATAAATTCATCAGTAAAGTTTTTAATTTTAATAAATTATTATAAATTTAACATGTGACATCATCTGACGTTATTAATTCATTCTTAGCAACATAATAAATTAACGAATTACTGACGTTAGATGATGTCATTTGTTAAATTTAAGGTAATTTGTCCAAATTAAAAAATTTTTGAGTGAATTTATCTTTATTTTTTATTAAAAAGTGAGTTCGTTCTTATTATTATACTTTGAAAATAGATTTGAATATTTTGACAATTTATTAAACACACAGAAAGTGATAAATTATGAGTCAATATTTATTGCGGCAATCCTATCATGAGAGGTCCCATTTAGCCACATTTTCCTCATTACATAAAGTGCATCTAAAAGCTAGACATAGAAAATAAAAACCAGCGCGCCCAGAGACACAAGCCCACTTTACAGGCTCTTTTTTCCTCGTTTAAAAATCTGGGCAAGTGATTTTTCTTTGGTCGGTCGAGAAGTCCAGAGGGGTCACTGTCTTAATTTGGCTAAGTATACATGGTCGGCTCGTGGTCAAAACCTTAGCCAAAGGTCCTCAATTATACACCATTCATGTTTTCATCTACTCACACGTCAAACTCCAATGTCGTATCTCTATACGTATACGAACACACATTTGTGTAATGGTGTCTAATCAGGAGAAAAAGAACTATTTTGGCGTAGAAATGACGTGAAGCTTACATGCATGGGGAGTTTGACGTACAGAGGCGGTAATGTAGGACATAGGCGCATAAATGTGAGCTTCGAATCCGCCGATGCAGGGAACGGAAAATCTCTTAAAATTGTGCGCTAAAGACGATTAATTGAATTTGGTTTTCACGTTATTTTTTTAATTAAAAAATAAATTATTTAACCAATAACTTAATTAATTTAATGATAAATTTTTTTTATTAAAAGTAAAAGATTTTACATTTAAATCACATGATATGTAAGTGAGATCAGATAAAAAAAATTGTCTCTTATTATACAATTAAAATAAAAAAACTAATTATTTAATAAAATAAAAGTTTAAATATTTAATTTTAAGTCTAAATTAATATTTTTTTTAGTTAATAAATATCAGTGAAACTAAACTCTTGTTAATAATTTTTAAGCTGTTTGGTTACGTATATAATTTACTGCATTTTTATGTCGACTGGAAATTAATAACGTACGACAGTCCAATTCAGGAATCATTTGAAGAAGCTAAGTTTTCATATTGGGTCATAAAGAAGGAAACAGTAATGTAGAAACCAAACAAAAGCTTGGTCAGCTTGTAAGGACGCGACATTCATATGACCAAATTATTTAGCACGAGTTTTGTATGTGGGTCAGTAAACACAGAGCCGAAAGGGTGCATTGAGGAACTTATTCCACGAAAGACTTATGCATAGGGAACAAGGACTGTAACAAGGCGGTGCGCCGAAAACCAGAAGTTGAATATCCCTACACTTTAGACAATTATAATTTTTTTTTTAAAATTCATATGTACGTAACTAAGACAATTGTAATTTACTTGGAGACAAATGTTAGCTTTTTGATAGTTTTCCCACCAAGGATATATTGAACAAAATAGCTTCAAGAAAAAAAGAACATTACTTGACCCCAATAAAAGAACTTGATAAAAAAAGAAGAAGAAGAAAAGAAATACTCCCTCTCTTTCAAAATATAAATTATTTGATTTTTTATATATATATTTTTATGTTAATATTTTTTTTTATAATATATGAATTATAATTAAAAAATTTTATCAAATAATATTACTTAACAAAAATTATGTATAAAAAAATTTTAATTATCATTCATATATTCATGTATAGAAAATTATTATATAAAATTACACGTAAAAATTCAAATGATTTATATTTTCAAATAAAAAAAACATTTTTCTCAAGATTTTCAACAGCATGACGAGCCATGCTCACTGCAAAATCATATAATTGAGGACTGTGATAGTTCCACCTAAATTTAATTTTTAATTTTGAGAAAAATAAAAAAAGGATTAATTGTTCAACTTCCGTGAATGAGATAATCGGCGAGTGGAACTGCAAGTACGCGGCAATAGATCGGATAAGCTCCGATCCCAATTTGACCAAAAAAAACGGAACACGATAAGTAGGTCCCACATAAGCTTGATTGAGTCCACGTGTTCATCATGCTGACGCCATCAACATTTGACACAGAAGCCTTTTTAGTGGGGCCCTAAAAATAAAAAGAGACACAAGAGGCATGCCGTGATTTTCAATAAAGGAAGCCCCTTTTTTGGCTGTGGTCCCCATGAGACCATGACCCAACGAAACATTGCCACATGTACTCTCTCTCTTTTTGTCAAACCCCCCCGCCATTTTTTTTATTAGGGTAGCGATCTACAACTCCATGTTGGTTTCAACTTTCAACTTTGAATGGAAAAAATTTAGTATTTTATAAATAAAATTTTAAATTTAAATTTTGTAAATAAAAAAATGTTAAAAAAGTTTTTTTGTGAGATTTGATTTTAAATTAATTTAAAATTTAATATAATTTGTAGATACTAAAATTTAGTATCAAAAATAAAAAATAGTGATATGATGATAATCTTTTTATATAATCTTTATATATTATTTAATAAATAAATGTACTTAATATTATAAATTTTAAATAAATAAAAATTAATTATTTAGTTAACATAAAAAATTATATTAAAAATAATTAAAAAAATTTTTGAATCATTTTTCTTATTATAATTCCATGCAAATTAAATAAAAGAAAAATGATTTATAAATAATCTTTTTATACTATTTTTTTTACAATTTTATGTATAATTTAAATGATTAATTTTTTTATTTATTTAAATATAATGATATTAAATATATTTATTTATTTAATAATATATAAAAATTATATAAAAAATAATATAAAATGATTGTATTTGTGTCACCGCCGTAAATTTTATTACCACGTGAAAGAGATAGTTGACTGTACAGGTGGCAGGGTACGTGTGTGCTCCATAACCCCCGGAACGCTGCTATGGCCGGAAAGGTCGCCGGAATTTGACTTACTGTCGGTATCTTTGAAACCAGAACGGTTTCCCATTGCATTGTGCTTTGTTAATAATTAAATTCTTCTCTATATTAAACTAGTCTTTCCCCTTCATTTTTTCAGTTAAGTAGTAGGTCCTTTGCGTAGTTTAATGTTGTTCTTTATTGGATTTTCTCTTTCTTGTTATGGGTAAATTTTTGACTATTAGGGAAAGATGGAAAGCAGGAATTACTTTATTTAGAAAGAAACATTTAGTTAATGGGAGTGGTTATGATTATTCATTGTTTTATTAATCACTATAATTATATTTAATTTGAATAAAATTTATATTTTTTTAAATAGATAGTTATAATGGTTAAAAATGTTAATTTATAAATTAATTTTAATTTATTAAATTATAAATATAAATTGTTTTATCAATTACTAATTGTTTTTATCAATTACTAATTGTTTTTAATAATCAAATCAAACAGAATCAATATTTTTTTAACAAGATTTTGATAGTTTTGAAAAAAACAATTAGTGATTATGGTCACACATTAATTTGTTACTGCCACATAATATTATTTTAAAAAATATTAATTTTATTTCATTTGATTGTTAAAAATAGTTAATAACTAATTAAATGATTGATATCTACTATTTAAAAATTTTAAATTAATTTTTAAACATATATTTTCAAATGTCATAATTAATTATTTAAAAAATTTTAAATATCAATTAAACTAAATAAATTGTATGTGATTTTTAAAAAAATATTATGTGATATAACCATACCCTTAATAGAAGCGTCTTGTTTAATTTCCTGTGAACAAAAGTGCAGCAATCATTAATCTGTGACTTGCGTCGTATGATTTGATAATTATTTTTTCTATCAGGACAAATATGTATGTCATTTACATTAGAAACGATAAATTTATAAAGAGTTATTAATTACCTAAAATAGAGAAACATTCAATCATTAATTTGTGACTTGTGTAGTTTGATATGATTCCTATTTTTCGGATGGCGAAATTTTTTTTTACATTCCTTATATCACATTTAATAGTTTTTTTTATTAAATTCTATAATATAATATATATTTATTAATCTAAGGATATATAAAAATTAAATAGTAAAAGTGTATAAATAAATTGTCCGTGAATTATTATTTTGAGAAAATTATAAATATTTAATATTTTTTTTAGTGTATCAAAAAATTAACCACATAATAATATAAAACCTTAAAATTTTAAACTCAACTTTAAAAAAATTTTAAATTGATAAATATCATCTTAATCAAACTAGTATTTAATAATATGATTGGAAGCAGACACTTGTTATTGGTTGGGAGGTAATTGGATTCAATGAAATAAAATGATTAGTGATATGATTGATGTAATTGGGAATATGATAGAGATAGCAAAAAAAAATTAAAAATTGATGAGATATGATCAATAATGGAAGCTTCCTCTATTATTATTCAGCTAAAAAAATGAAATAAGAAAGGAACCATGCATGATCTTGGTTTCCTGATATAGAGAAGCTTAGTAGAAATTAATAGCAAACAAAAAATACATACATACATACACACACATATATATATATATATATATAAACATCTAACTTCAAAACAAAAACATAAACAATTGGAGTAAAAAGGCTACTTTTTCCATGATTTTGAAGTTTTTTAAGTTACATGAATCCATTCACATCCAAGATATCTGGAATTTCAAACTTCAAAATGTTGCTGCAGTAGCTTTCTCTTTCATCTTCAGTGCTGCAGCTATTGATGTAAGTTGAATTCGAATTCCTTAGCTCTGGACTTGATGACGGCGTTGAAAAGACCGATGGGAACTCAAAGTTCTGGTTACTAATGTTGGAGTACTGGTAATTTGAGGTTTCAGATGAAGGGTCCAATTCCAATATAGCTTGATCGGGGCAGGCATAATAATTGTCGTAGTTTGATGGTAAAGGAACATAGTCTCCAGCCAAATTTGAAGGCATTTCAGTAGGAAAGTCAGCGAAATTTGCTTGGAATTGGTCCACATTAGTGTTCATAGCTTGTGCTTCATTAGAAAACGGAATTTCTTGGACTGGAGTTTGCATTAATGGGGCCTGATATTGGTTTTCCACTTGGGGAGGATTGCAAAGTTGGGTTTGTTGGGCATTTTGAAGAATTTGGTAATTTTGTGTTTGAGTTTGGTCAGGCTGGGATGATGATAGGGAAGCAGCAAGCCTTAGAAGTTCTGGGTTCAAGAGGGGATGTGCAGTACCAAGCAACCTTGAAAAATTCACCTGAGATTGATTGTAGAAAGATGAGCTTAGAATCGAGGAGAGGTCGAGAAGATCAAGCCGAGGATTATGAGTCACTGGATCGATTCCCATTCGAAGAAGCCTTTTCCTGATGTGCGTGTTCCAATAGTTTTTGATTTCATTGTCTGTTCTTCCAGGCAACCGAGCAGCAATGGCAGACCACCTAATTAACCCAAATCATAGCAAAAATGGAAAAACATAATCAATAAGTGGAACAAATAAAATTCCTCAATCATGGCTCTTCAGCATGTTGATGCTTACTTGTTGCCTAGAAAGCTATGGAGCTGAATTATGGTTTCCTCTTCATCAAAAGAAAATCTGCCCCTCTTGATATCAGGTCGCAAGTAATTAGTCCACCGAAGACGGCAACTTTTTCCACACCTTTGTAGTCCTGCACAAATATATCAAAACATACATTAATAAAACCATATCTGCCACTTGCACAAAAGCATACATGCACTTTTCTCTTTTTGTAAAGTTTAAAAATCCCACTCACCGGCATTCTTTGGCAATGTTCTCCAGTTTCCATACCCATGTTTCTGAATGTAATCAATCAACTTCTCATCTTCCTCCGGCGTCCATGGACCTTTCTTGAGTCCATTTTTGTCACAGCACGGCGTTCTTCCCATGGTTAAGTAAAAGAGTCGAGAGAATTTTTTTTTTTTGTTTTTAGAAATTAGAGAAATGAGCAGCAAAGTCTGTATTGGGAGTTGTATATATAAATAGGAAAGTGAAAGAAGCAAAGTCAAAAGTATTCGGTACCGTCCTCTTTTGCTCACCATGGCAACGTGTCATGTCTCATTGGAGAAATGTGATCTCCAAAGGGTAGAAATTAAATTTTAATACAAACTACAACTGCTCAGATGATCATGTTAATTTCTCTATCTTCTTACCCATCGTTTTCCGGCGGAAGTGATTCCCCTTTACTTTCTGGATTCATATTAGCTGTCATCGACGGAAAACAGCCACGTACCCTCTGCTTTTAACGTTGACGTTTGTTACATGGTTTCTTCAATTTCATGCATGGCTTATGTGACAAGATGGCTCGACTTTAGCTAATCCGCGGCTCAAGGCTTTGTTTGTACACAGGGACGGAGCTACCAAAGGACAAGGGGAGGCAGCCGCCCCCCTAAGCTTTTGAAAAATGTTTAATCTACTATATTAATTTTTAATTAGTACAAAATTTGTTTTTGATGTTTGAATTATAAGGACCTTTTTAAATTTAAAGAAAATATTTAAGAGTTGCGTAAAAGGATCATTTCTTTCTTTATAATCAATTTTTAAAACAAATAATTTTATTTGGGTATGAAAAAAAATTTTACATTAGTTGTAATTTTTTTTATAATTTATATTTTATCAATTCAATAATTAGATTTGATATTCTAATTGAAAGTTTATATTTTATATGAGATTATTATATATTTACTAGACTTGCAAAAAAATAAGGTGAAAAATACTTCAAAATCATGATATTCTAAGAAGGTATTATAAAAAAATACTAATATATTCTTCATTTTCACCCAAAAAATAGCTAATTTAGTCTATTTATTTTAATTAGCGTTTTTTTAAACAATAGAGTTTTGAAATAATTTTTTCATAAATTTTTCTTGATCCAACTTATTATTATTTTTCCTACTATTTTATATTATTTGTTTAAGGGTTTTGAATCATATGTTATTAAAAAATAATTAAATATATTTAATTAATTTAAAGTTTGATATATATGTTATAAGTAATATATTTATTCATAAAATTAATGATTAATATACAATTGATATAATTTTTTATGTAAAAATTATGAATCAAACTAAAAACTAATGATTAATATATAATACGTTCAAACTGATGAAAATGAATGCGATGGGGAGGGGCAGAATTCCCTTTACTTTATTATTTTTTTTAATTTAGTTATCTATCAAATTGAAGGGAAGGAAAAGGAGGGTAGGCGAAAATTCCCCCCCCCCCCCCCTTACCCAAAATTCTAGCTTCATCCCTGTTTGTACATGTCTGTTTTACATGAGTTCTTTTCATAAAATACCTCAAGTAAAAATAAAAATTTATTATTTTAAATGAATAAAAAAATTTAAAAAAAATTATAACCGTTGCGACATTGACAAATTAAACTTAAAATTAGTTCATTTGATTTCTTATCGAATTTTTCAGTGAAAAGACTGTTGTGTCCATGGTATGATATTTGCTGGACCAATCCTGTTTCCATGTCATGGGGTGGGGATAATCTCTTCCATTTTGCCCCCAGCCAAATTTGTATGGTCCTTTTAAGATAACCCTAACAGGGTGATTCAATATTAAAAGTTTGTAATTTTAAATTGAAAATTTTAAATTTAAATTTTGACTTAAATGAAGAGTGATTTAGAAAAAAAAAATTACTTTATATATATATATAATTTATCATTATCATATATAAATAAATAAATAAATAATTTTTCTAACGTGAATATAATAAATATGAGGGAAAGCATTTAATTTGAGATGGCAATAATAGAGACCGGCGTTCGCTGAAATATGATAGGACATTTATTATGCTCAAGTTGGGGTCCAAAAGGGAACCATAAATAAATATAAGAAAAAAATGGTCCAAATGGGCTTTGCCTTTCTCATCCAATAAATTTTGAGATAAGGTTTTAATTTTATGTAACAATATTAGGAATGGTATCATCAAGAACTCAGTCCAACCGTTCCATAAATAAAACAAGAAAAAAAAAAAAAAACTAAACTAAACTAAACTAAACTAACTCTGTCCATATGTTTTATTCAATCTAGAAGTTTCTTTCTTCTCCTTTTCTTCGGTTTATATAGTCAAACGTGAAAATAGACGTGGAAGAGGAAAAGTCTATTTTGTGTGAAAACGAAGGTTAATAATGCACAACAGCACGACTTCTTTGAGTTATGTCTCAATCTTAATTTTCTTGGGTACCCCAATAAAAGAAAAAAATGTCTCGGGCACGAGTTGTGTTGATTTGTTCATTTTATCCACCCAAAGTTTGATTCTTTCATGTGAGGATATTTCAATGCGACAAGATGTTTTAGAACAAATCTACCAAAGTTGCAAATTGTAACATCAACAACCAATTCAAGGCACACTATTTTAGTTTTGAAAAGTCCACAAAAAAGTAGTTATAACATTAATTCTTTTTCTTTCTGTCAATTTTCTTTAGTCAATGACAATATATAATGCTTTAAAACCTCTCTATATCTCTACTAATTCAAGATTTGAATCTCAATTTTTTCAATATCAACTCAAGTACATAGCTATCTCCTAGAGGACCAATTATTTTGCCAATTTGCTCAAACTTATCAATGCACTTAATTACCAATAAAGAAAGTTAAATTTGAATTAACATTTGAACAAAATTATACAAGAAAGGATTATCTACAAAATAATCTTTTAGCAGGTAAGCACGACTCTCTATGTAGTGTACAAATCCTGAACTGAAAATAGTCACATGAATGTTTTGGCAGAACTTGTAAACCAGAACATGGACAGATTATAGCCCACTTCAAGTCTTAATTTTAACAGTTAATTAATTAGTGACTTAATGTCGTTTCCAGAAATTAATGTCATTGGCCCTGAACAACCACACATTTGAAATATGAAAAATTCCAAGAAAGCTCAATTCCATTGACTAAAAAAATTGATTGAGCAATGATTATCAAAGGGTTTGCTTCTAAAATAGACCATTGGTTTGTCTGATAGCTTATGTGCTTCATTCACCATAAGCATTAAAACCTCATGTAATTTTCTCCTGACAAGAAGTTTAGAGGTTTTCATTGATCAGCGATCTGACCATATAGTCGCATCCACTCTATTTTACAGCTTATCTTCATTAATTTCCATATAAAATTTCAATGAGCTAGCAAACCAATCATACTAAAAAGGCTGACCAAAAAGAAAAAACAATCCAATCATACTGAGAAGGTACCACCAACAAAAACATAAATCAATGGTAAAACCTAATGAGCAACGCAATTCAATTATATATGCGGCGTGGCAGAGGGAAAAGCATACACCTCTTAATTAACCTACAGAGTGCATTAAATCATATATAGATATATATATATATATATATATAAAGCAACAATATATGTCCTAATCAGTCTGGATCCTTGTGTCAAAATGAGAAAAAGAAGTTAAAATATTTGAAAAGAAAAAGGGGGAAGTGATTATGACTTCTTGTGTGGCCTTACAAAGCTTGTTTAAGGTTGGATTAATTAAACTCATACTAATAATGGAATCTTGGATCCGAAAAATAATAAATAATAATAATAATAATAATAATGATGGATGCTTGAAATGGAAAATGAAAATTTTTAACTTGTGTCTTTAGAACACAAGTTAAACTTTATTTAATGTAGTATCTATAATTAATTTTATATTAAATTTTATATTAAATTCAATTAAAATATAATATAATATTTATACTTAAAATATAAAAAAAACATAAATATAATATAAAAATTTATATGAAATTAATTATAAATACTATAATTAATAATATTTAACATGTACCTTAGCGGCACATATTAGACAAACCCATTGAAAATTTATTCAACCTATTTTATTTTTTTGGTAGATTTTGTGAACAAAGTAATGGTGCTGAAGGTTTTTCCAATCATAAAATGGATGAGAGTATAAAAGTTGCTGCTACAATATGCCGCCATGCTGTCGACAACTGTGTGCAACACGTTGGCCCAATAAAGGCAAAATCTCTTGAAGGCCCTGAACTAACCTCAGATTCTTAATTAAGCTTCTGAACTTTTTTAAAACAGATAAGGCCCTAAACTCACAATTTGTGCAATTTTGCTCTCTTCCATGTATTTCCTTGTTTGCAACCTTGTAGTGTGCAATTAAGAAAATGGTAAAATTGCACTTATTGTGGGATTCAAAGGCTCATTTGCTTTAAAAAAAAGTTCAAGGACTCAAATGAAAATATAAGTTCAGTTTATAAGTTTCAGGTGGAGTTTTACCCTTATACACTCACTAAAAATATATTTTAACTCTAACATTAATCGCTGAATCTATCAACGAAAGTGTAGCTAATTTTTTTTTTTTAAACAAGGAAATTGAGGAAAAGAGGAATAAAGAGGTTATTAATGTAGCAGTTAAAATTCTGATATTTGTTAAGAGTTAAGTGTAACCGAATTAATATAGTCAAAATTATGGTTGTCAAAGTGTAGCTAAATTGATACATAATAAATGTGAAACTTTAATTTAATGTTAAAGTTGAAAATTCAAATAACCGTAATGCTGAGACGAAGGAAAACATTTTTTTTAAATATTCGTAAAAGAAAAAAACATCTTATTTTGTTTTGACACATGTGAATCTATCACATCAGAAATAATAGTCGACACATGGCAAAACTAACCCATCGTGGCTTAGCTAGCAAGACAAGATCGAACTCGAGATTTTTTCAATAATAATAACAACTCAGGAATTAAAAGTGTTCATGGCTTAGCCAAGTCACAGAAAATCTTTGTGAATTGCACGGATGACGTTCTCTAATCTACGAACCTATCCAGCATTTAGTAGTAATTAGTACTTAATTCTTTGATTTAGCTTATTAATCTGATCACGCAATTATACGTGTTACTGCCGAGGTTTCTTGATCCCTAGTAGAACAGGAGCTACCCACCGACAACGTGCCACATCACAACAAATGTGATGTCTAATGTCTGCGTTCAGAATGGCAGAGAACTAGCCCCGTGTGTTAACGACGTAATGTTTTATATTTTTAATATTTATATATCTATATAATTAATAGGTAAGAAAAATGCAACCAAGCAAACTAAAATTTGAAGAAGAAAAAAAAGCAAAATTCTCGATCTAGATGTGTTCTGGTAATCTAACAGCTCGTACCATGCAATTTGAAGAAATGATTGGCTATAATTTTCTTCATAAAATTAGTATATTTTTCTTTCTTGGACAGGTGGCAATCAAAACTATATATTTCTTCAAGTCGACGATAATTTGGGGCAATTTTTTCCTCTTTTTTTTACTCATTAATAAAAAAAATTATTGAAACACAATTTAATGTGAAACACGTTCATTATATTTAAAATCTCGTGTGTTAATCTATGTCGAAGTGTCTAATCCACCCATTTTCAACAAAAAATAAGTAATTAAGGTCCCTGGTCATATAATACTTTCTTGTTATTGAACCAATAAGATTTATTTACCCTAATTTGGGTTCCCTTATGGTAATAATAATGATTAATTTTAATCAAATATAATGCACTTTCTCCATAAAAAAAAAAAATTTTCTAATGCACTTTCGAGGCATATAATTATCATTAAAGATAATCCCTGAATTAAACTTTCCCTAAAAAAGGAATCCCCTCAACCACAAGCATGGAATGATGACATAATACAATACTAGTATAATGTTATATTGCTACTTAAAATAAGGCCTTGCTAATACTATACGAAATACGATTAAGATAATCCTGAGCATAATCTAGGCTTTATATCTCCATGATCATGGAGACACCTGAAATCGTGTGACGAATCAAGAGACAGCATTATCCGGAAATCCTTACCTTTTAACGCAAAATTTATGCATAAATTAAGAGAATGCTTACATCTTAAATGCTTGAAAGGGTAATTACATGTCCTAAATGCAGGGATTGCTTGCGCATGGGTTACCCAAACAAGCTGCCGACGTCATTTTGACCCGCAAATATGTACTGAAATTTGGTATATTATCTAAAAAAAATTGTTCGTCTGTTACTGTTGGGAGCTGTTGATTGCTCCAATAAACGTTGAATAGTATATTCAGTGATCAAAAGTTATTTCTTTAATCGAAGGACAAATAGTTTAGAGCTATTTTTGGATACGAGATCTAAAGCATGTGTGGATGGTGTGCTGCTGTTACTATTTTAAGCTAATTAAACAAAAAAAATTTCCTATTTTCAGTTTGCGTTCAACAATCTCAACAATTTTAAAAACAACGTAGCATGAGGATGATCAAAGCACAGTATTAAAATAAAGGAGAAGAAAAAATACCTGGTCCTGATAAGAGGTCGAGAACTTTCTTCAGATCTCATGCCATTGCCAGCAAAGAAATGATTCGCGTCCAATGTAAGAATGCCTGGACACGTATGTGTTGCTAGGAAGAAGAAAAATCGATCCCTTTCTGGGAATGGAGTGATATGATAGATGCAGATTCACGAGCTTGGGGTGTGGTGAACACTGATTGGTTTGGAACTGCAGTCAATAATGAATATTATACATACTCATCAGCTAGAGAATTCTTGATCAATGTATTTTGATCCATAGACGAGTCATATTAACTCTCAAGAGTAAGAATTGAAAGACCGCTGGTGAAGTAAAATAAGGGTAATCGCAGAATGTAAGAAATTGCAAGGAATTTATTAACATTTATTTACCTTGTTACGATTGCTAAAGAAAACGGATAAGGTTTCAGCAAATATTTTGATGATCACAGAATCAGTACATTAGTTCAGAGGAAATTCATATACCTATAATTTAAAGAGTTGTCACTTACAAAGCTACAACAGCCAGCAGAAGGTCAGGCTGGCACTCAAACTTGCTAGATTTTCTTTTTCTTTTGCTTGGTGATATGACCATGGCAATCTGAAGTGAAATGTACCCTATAAGACAATTTTAATAACAAGCTGGATGTAACTTTGCCCCACAACATTGTTTGCAAAACCAAAAGATAAAAAGGTAATAGTGTCAAACAGCAGGGGATAACTTAGGAGTAGAGAAACTTACCAAGGTAAACTGAATAAGACAACAAAGAGTTGACAGTTTTGTTGCCTGGTCCTGCAAAACATGAGTACCAAAAGACACAGTATTTTGAGTTGCATATTTTACTAGAAGTTAAATATAACAAAGGAGTCCAGATAAAAGATAAACTACACATAACTCATTACTATAATCAACTATAAACTCAACTATCTAAACAAAGCCATAAGCATCTGAAACTCATATTATGAAATATGAAACCTACATCAGACAAACTGATTGAACCTTGAAGAATCTAGTATATGATATCAAGATGAGAAGTCTTCGTCAGTCGTGACACAATGCCACAAATTGTTGACATGTTTGTTTCTAATCTTGAACTCCTGTTCATCAGAAAATCCCATGTCAATGAATCAACAGATACTCTCTGCTAGTTAATTAACTTATTCTGGTTGGTCGAAAAAAATTAGCTTATTCTGTAACATCGGCTTTATTTTCTCCAAGGAACTTTGAGAACATAGTCTATTGTTTTACAAAGGATCCAAGGTTCCCAATTTCAGTATGTCCTCCATCCTTGTCGGCAATAGATCAAAGACATCTTGGTGTTGGCCATTAAACTTTCATTGGTTTCATTTGGTTAGTCCTCATGGATTCATTTTAACTCAGATAAATTCATATCCTAATCTATAACTACCAACAGCTTAACACCACCAATCGATAGATGCAAATGTGAGGACAGATGGACAGTCTAAACCATCTGTACTCTGTAACCAGAAACATAATCTTGGTACATTCTCCTTTCAATTATCCTTGAAAAATGAAAATTAAACACATTAGTATGAAAGAATATAGGATATTAGCAAGAATTTTAGACAAAGAGTTTCCTAAAAGGAAGTTCCTTTTGACACTTTAATGCAATGGCAAATGTGATTTTTCACATACTACTGTGAACTGATTCTGAATAATTATTTTACAACTTGCAAGAACAGAATAAACCTCAAGCATATTCAAAAGATGGAGCAACATAAACAAATACCAATTTTGTATATAATCCATCATCAAAAAATTCTTGAATGGGAAGAGATCATCTCCAGTATCTGGTTATGTATGTTGCCATTAGTCACAAGAACACCGCCAGCAGGGAATATGATCCTTCGTTCAACTTGATCTGCACCAATATCAAGTTCACTTCCTTTCCAGTCAGTCACCTGATAATTGTACCAGTTAAAAATGTATTCTGTTAGGAGAGAAGGAAGAGATATCAAAATTACTTAGAATGCATCTTAGATTTCTTATAACCATTATATACAGAAGATGGAAACATAATCTTTAGAATCAAGTAGCTGCAAAAGATGCAAAACACCCAAACGCTAGATACGTGCAACTTGTTTATCATCCTACAATCCATAAACAAAGAGGCAAAACTAATCTATGACAAGGACAAAATGTCCCAAATTAACAAGGGCATAACCCCCAAATCCACCCCTCAAATAAGGGGGCAAGGACAAATCTGCTACTCAAGAAAAGGCAGGGACGAATTATCCCTCCAAATTATCAATCAAAACAAATCATTCATTACTTAACGTGTGACATCATCACACGTCAGAAATCCGTTTGCCACCTAAGCATATTTTTAACAAAAAGCTGACATGTGATGATGTCACACATTAAATAATGGGTGATTCGTTTTGCTTGATAATTTGAAGAGGCAATTTGTCCCTACCTTTTTTTGAGGGGTAGATCTGTCCCTGTCCTTCTATTTGAAGTGTGAATTTGGGGGTGTGGCCAACGAACAAGGGTCTCAAAATTGACACCTTAGGGTTTCAACATCTATTTTTTTCCTTAACGCTCTGGACTACTTATCATATGTAAACAAAGAGTTGGATGACGAAATTCATATCATTGACAAAAATTTCTTCAACTTCATAATTTGCACTGAAATTACATCCAAAAACACTGATTACCTGTTTGTCTCCCACAAAACCAATTAATTAAAGAGAGACTTAGCTAACACAAGGTTTTGGGATTACTTTTTTGGGCTAATAGCTGAAGAAGCTAAGGAAGCAATCAAAATCTTGATCACTTTGTTTACTTCCTCAAATCAGAAAACATGACAACCTTCTGAAATTAGATGAAGAAAGAATACTTGCTTTAAATAAATAATTTGAAAACAAACATGGTTTTGAACAATTATTAAGAAATTACTGGAAGAGTTTAGTTTCCTGCTCTTTATTGATAGTTCAGATAACATTCAATTACATATTTGCATTGTGGAGAATATATCCTAAAGTCGATGCATCGATATACAGACAGAACAAAAATCAAATTCAAAGATCAAACATCCAGTAAAGAATCACACACCTTTCCTCCTGCTTCATGCACACATAACATGCCAACAGCATGATCCCAAGCCTGTATTGTTAATAAGAAGAAGATCAACTTTGATTCTGCAAACCTTTCTCCCGATATTTCTTGAGTTATAAATCAATATTATACCTTGATAACTTTCTGAGATTTCACTCGTTGCATGAAAACTGATGCTTTGCCTGAAGCCACCATTAAGTACTTGCATAAACTGCATACAAGCAGGTATTTCAAGTTCATAAACATGCAATGAATATTGTGTATTAAGAAATGAGAGCATTTTCCCTCTCAATAAATATAAAAGAGCTATTCTAAAACCATTACTGTCAAATTATATAATGCTTTAGATTTTATAAAATATAATAGGGATGGAGATTTGGCACACTTGGTCCATAAAACTGGAGACAATACTTTGTGAGTGAATCAAATAGTAAGTTAAAGGAATTGCCTCACCTATCTAGATCTGCCTTATAAAGGGGGATTTAGGAGCCAATATTTATGTGGATGTATGGGAATGTGAAAGAAAAGCTCATGCTTCATGATCATCCAGGTTAGGACTTGCCTAGAGAAAACCCATGGTGTAGTGATCTTGACACATTAACTACTTGGCTGGACTAATGAGGAACAACTATTCAACAATAATTCACGGCTCCATCTCTTCCTGGTCAGTGGATGATAATGTCCAAATAAATCAATATACCCAGAATCTTTGAAGTACTATGCATATGCAAAAGTATCTTTCAAGCAATTTTCTTGGCCTCTGGCCGAAAAAAAAAAGAAAACAAGATTTTCTTGGCCTAGAAAGTATACAATTGGAAGTGAACTATATTTATTCCTAGATAAAAGAGTAAAATAACATAAAGACACAAGTTTTATTGATCTAAGACCCCCACTTCTTTCTAGACATGCATCTTTAGAATTCATCAATTGGGAAAAATTTTCTCAGAGTATTTTCTTTCCAGTAATTGGGCCTCAAAATTCTGTTTCCTAAGTTCACATGCTGTTATAGAGATGGGAGCATCAGAATGCCAGAGAATAATAAAATTTTAAATTGGCACTAAGACCCATGGTTGGTATGAACCAGAGTCTCATCAACGACAGCCAGTAAGTTAGCAGTTCCAAACAACTCTTAATGTAAGTGAATAGCTGTACCTGAAGACATGTAATTTTCTAGGTTATTCTTCAAATAAATGCAGTTATTATCTCGTATAACAGCCAGTGAACAATTTCAGAACCCTATGGATAAAAATTTCTTAAAAGAAAAAATTACCAAAAACAAATGTTATTAATGAGAAAACACCAACCTCCCACAACATGATGACAAAAGAATAATTTCTTTATCCCCAACGTCATCAGCTTCAGCATCAATTTTTGCTTCATACAAAGCTGACAGGGGAATTAACTCCCATGTCTGGCTATCTGGAATACAAAACCGAGCTTTGGGAACTAAGCAGCAATCATCAACAAAGCATCTTGTCCAACCAGCTGATATTTTGGATGAGATATCATGAAAATCAATTAAGTTCTTTGTCCAAGTTCCACAGTCAGTGTGAGCAATCATAACAATTCCTGGTTTGGATGTATTGATTTTATATCCCTGAACTTCAGTGGAAGACTTGCAAGAATGATCTTCAAGCCAGTTAGGGCAGCCCATGACACCCAACACAATCTCTCCTTCAACTACAAGAGCCAAACCTACCTGAAAATTTAAGATATGCTTTCAAAGAAAGAAGAAAGGTAGATGAAAAGGACCTAGCAAGTATAGATACTACATAAGTAGAATGAAATTTTATTTTTGTAAATTGTAAGTCATTCTCTATAAGCCTTTCATGCCTTTCATGGTAAAAAAGGTTCCCTTAAAAATGTTTTAGGGGGTACGCTGAGAACACAATTAAGCACCCATTCTCTTCTTCAAAAGACCTCCTAAGAAAACTTTCAAAAAGCAAGAGATTAAGGAAGTAAACTACAATACATATAAGTAAATATAAGACATACCACATATAAGGCCTCACTTCCTTTCACAAACCCTCGTGTTCCATCAATTGGATCCAGAATCTGCAATTTGTTTGCAAATTTAGGCAGGGTGACTTAAGCTCAATCCAACTGAGAAGCTTAATGCAAACTATCTAAGGAAACCTATAATAACACATAACAACTCTTAGAGCCACTAATGGGAACAGCATTCTTAACTCCCAGTTAGTAACAACGAGTTTGCTTTGTTACATGCTTGTTCTAATGGGAATGAAGACAAACATGCAATAGTCAAAAAGAATCAAATTGACTTGAAAATTTACTTTTCTTCTGAACCAATTAGTTCATCAGAAAAGCTGAAAAACTCCTCTTTACATATTACAGAGAGACCTACCCAGTATGTAGCTGGCTTTGTTCCAAAATCAAAACCACCTTTCCCTCCTCGGTCAATTGCTTCTAGTACATCAGCTTTTGACAACATTTTATCTCCAGAGCTTGCTTTATCAGACACTACTTTTACAACAGAATCCACCAAATTATGTGAACGCAAAAAACCAGAGTCCTCCTCAGCCACCAAGGGAACAGAAGGGAACAATTTGCCCAGTTCTGCACCAACAATACAGAAGAAATTAAAAAAACGAATGAGGTCTAACTTGTGATATATTTAATCTAGCCTTATGTCTCATTTCTTACTTTGCTGCTCAATTGAGCATTACATGATAAAGAAAAATTAGATTTTCAACCAACAATGTAAGCTATACTTCCCATAATCAAATTTATTATTGGAAAACAACATTTCAATTATAATGAAGTCTTGATCATACCTTGACAAAATGGAATTCAATCCTTATCAAATAAAACTGAAATTCAATCAGCCAACTTGATACAAAGAGTGTAGCTGCTATTAATTTGAGTTCCTTAGTATCAAAAAAACAGGTTGATAATAATTAAGCCACAGAAGATAAATTAAACATGAAAAATGAAGTTATTACTCTTTTCTTACTTCCTAGCTCAACGGAGCACTCATGATCAGGAAAATTAAATTTCCACCATACAACGTAAGCCATACATAATTGTTGGAAATCGCCATTACAAATTTGAATTCAAGTCTTGATTAAAGAAAAGAAAAAAAAATCAACTTGCTACTTTGCAAAATTAAAATTCAATCAACCAACCAGATACAAAGATGGCAGATGCATTTGAATTTCAGTTAAAAAGGAAACATCATATTTGTTCATAATCAGGTCACAGAGGATTAATTAAACACGGAAACTACAGTGAAACAAAAAAAAGAAGAAGAAAGAATAGAAAATCCTTAAACCTATATCAGAAATGCAACGGCATTAATCGAATTACCCAAACTAACTAGAGCTTGGACGCCAAAATCTGCGACGGTAACTGGCGTTTGGTCGTTCTTTTCAAGAATCCCTCCTTTGGAGAACATAGATTTTTGCACCTGGAATCAAAAACAAAAATCATTGACAAAATAAA